ATTATCAGCACCAGCATCACCTGAAACCTTAATAGAAATGCACATTCCCAGGCCTCATCTCAGATCTACTGAACCAAAATCTCTGGGGGGCGGGGGTTGAGGCCCAGTAATCTGGGTTTTAAATCATCTCTGGGTGAGTCTAATACATACTCAGGTTTAATAAACCACTGTTATAAAGCATGAAAGTTGATGTTACAATTTCTATCTGGAGATCGTAAAGATAAAAGTTCAGCAAATATCCTATAACTCTAGCAAGTGTTTTTCTGTATCAAAAACATATTGATGCTACCGCATGTGACCTTAGCCCCAGCTACTTGTGAGGCTGAGGCAGGAAGGCTGAGCCTAAGAGTTGCAGGCTGCAGTGAGCTCTGATAACGCCACTGCACTGCAGTCTCGCCAACAGAAAAAAAGAAACAAATATATCAGATGTATATTGTTTTTAGATATATACCACCTTTTGTAAGTTTTGCCAGAATCAGAGCACACAATGATTAAATTGTGTTTTCTCCTTTTTTCTTTTTGTTAGAGTATTACAAGAACTTAATAGCAATTCTGTGTGACATTTTGACCTCACTAAACACACCTTACATTGTGTTTACTGGTTGATTAAAACTAGGTCAATATATTACCTAGTTTTTCTGAAGCTTCAATTTTAAGTCTCTTCTTTAAAAGTATCAAATGTGATAGACAGCAAGTCCTCACTTAATAGCCTTCACAGGTTCCCAGAAACTGCGAATTAAGCAAAATAACATTTAATGAAACCAATTTTTACTATAGCAAATTGTTAATAAATAAGAGTTCAGTTCCTATCGCATATTTCTGATCACAAAAACATCACCAAACCTCTAAATACAGACCCAAACACTTCTAATGACCAACGTTGAAACACATGTGAGCTCGCATGCATTTGAGAGAGAGTTATAAAAACAAATAAGATCATTATTTACCCACTTCTTTCAGTTCAGGGCCAAAGGTTGCCAGAATCTTTCCCTGTAGCTCAGGGTGCAAGGTGGGGCCCCACTCTGGACAGACTGCTGCGTCATGGAGGGCACACTCACGCACACACCAAGGAGACACACCAATGAATCTCTTCTGTGCATGTTTTTGGGAGGTGGGAGAAAACTGGAGGACTCAGAGAAAACCCATGCAGACGTGGAGAGAATGTGCAAAAAGAGAATGTTCACCTAGTGGTCCCAGGTGGGAATCGATTATTTTTTTCTCATCATTGTAGCATAAGGACATCGAACCAAATGACATTATCCAAGGAACTGTTGTAGATTAAAAATAAGTTAATGTACATTGCTATGATTTAATAAAAAAAAAATAAGCTCTTCTTTATTTGAGAAAACTTCCTGTGTGTCTTACACAATAAAGTGCTTAAAAATGTACTTTAGAGGATTTAAAATGCTAAGATAGAAGTTTGGAATAATCTGATTTATAGGAATGACGCTGAATTTTAAAAATTATCAAATTGCGATTACATATAATTCTTATGAATACCTTTTTATTAATAAATAAAACAATTTCCTTTCACTTACATACGCAGGGTAAACCAGACTTGAACACAACATTGCCAATTAGACAAACAGCATCAATTTTCAAACAACCGGTAACCAAAGTCACAAATCAACCCAATAATAAAGTGAAATCGGACCCACAACGAATGAATGAGCAGCCACGCCAGGTAAGGATCTCATTTGTTCTCCAATCTTACTTTTCAGATAACGCTGGTATTTTTACCAGATACGGTTTAAGTAAATTCTGGTTAAAATGGAATGTATTTGGAAAGAAAATTGTCTTATGTCCAAGACTATTACATGAATGCTGGAGAATAACTATAATAATACAAAATTTGGTTAATAGTTTTAAGAAAAACTTTTAAGAAGTTAAGTAAAAGTGAATCTCCTACTGTGAACTACCTTTTTGTGTCTTTTGTGTGGTAACTTACATCAGACTTGGTTCTGCTAATCTTAGTTTTTTTAAAGATTATCTTTCCAAGGATAACATTTCATAGAAGGATGAAGCATGTAGTTTGTGCTGCTTAGTTTAAAAATATTTTCTATTAGTTGGAAACTAAATCCACTTTTTATTCTGATTTCTTATTTTATAAAAATCTGTCCCACCCCTTTTGAAAAACCGAATGAGATAAACTTTGTCAATATGGTATATTGTCCTGTGATTTCCATTTTTATATAAATTCAATTTATTTTTCTCTTTCTTTATTGCTTCAAGCTGTATTCCACCAGAATCTTTCCTTAGGAAAAAAGTATTATCCGCAAGGCCTCCCTGTTGGTTAATAATGCCGCATAGCCAGGGGAGGGAGACCCGGCAAAATGCTTTCATCCTTCCAAGTAATCTTGCTCATTCACTCCCTAGTGGTGGTCAAAAGTTTAGGTAGTTGGTGAATTTTTAGAAGTAACCGGGGTGAGGGAGTGGAGGGAGAAACGTCTGTGCATTTTTTTCTCTCTCCTTTCTCTGCCTCCTCCCACCTAAAGATTAGAAACGCTGATTGACCTACACAATTACCTTTGGCTCTCATATTCCCCCTGTAGATGTCTCACTCCACCTTTTCATTTGAATTTTGTTTTTCACTAGTCCTCCAAGTGTCTCATCTCCAGACTCCATAAAGGATTGGGCCAAAACTTTCAGACAGTTGCTCTAGAAGAAACTACATTTAAAAAAAAAAATCAGTTCCCACATCCTCTGTAGTGTTTTTTCCTCTTCAGGTGAGCCAGGAAAACAGAAGATATTTGGAGCCACATTGGATCAGCATCTTGCTATAGATGTCTCAAGATTTGAAGTTCTAAACTTGCTTTACTGTTGGTCCCCAAGAGATTCAACAGGGGCCATGTAAGTGTATCACATCCAATCTAAAAGATGCGTACCTGCATGTGCCTTTAGGTTCCTGTCACCACTTAGGTTTTGGGCCATTCAGCTTTCTGTGTGAGGCTGTTCCCTTCAGTTTTACTACCACGCCCAGTGACAGCCACCAGACCCCGCAAGTTTTAGTATATTCATGACACAGGGAAGGAATCCCGCCATTCTGAACTTTGCCCACCTGGATAAAGCCCCTCCCTGGTTCTATTCTTTCTCAGATACTAAATCTTGAACATCTTGTCCTTTGGCTTTTTAGTGTTTTAAAAATCATTTCCTCAACAAAGGTATTTATTGATGTAAATTTTTGAAAGCACATAATTGGGTAAAACAGTTTCCTTCAAAAATTCTGGAAGATAAAGAAGATGGAATGTAACCTTTAACTGGCAATACTGTCCCACATTGGAAATTTGGGTTATCTTATTTGAACAGATAGTATTTAATAGATTTTTATCCTCATCTTTTCTTTGCCAAATCATTCTCAATTAGTCTATAAACCCAAATGTTTTGTTTAATGATTAATTGATTAGCAAATTCTGGTCATTTTAACAGTGGTATTTTCTGCACCTAAATTCAGCAACAGATTTTTAAAAGACGCAATAGTCATTTACTGGGTGTTTGCCTGGCTGTAGAGTTTTTGCTAACCTCGAATTTTAAAGACCAGTTGCTCCTTATTCTTTGGAATGTTGAGTAGTTTTGGTTTTTCCTTCTTTGATTATGGTTGAGGAGATTATTTTTAAATGAAAAGATGTGTCCAAAAAGCTAAGTTCCATTCCCTTCCTCCCCTCCTAAAAAACTTGTCATTTTAACCCAGATGTTTTGAGGGTTTATTCTTCCTTTTTGCTTACATAAACAGGAAGTGTTTAAAATTATTTAGCAGCCCACCTCTCCAAAAGCGGGGGCCGTTTTTCACTTTACCCCTACGTTACCTGACGTTTTTGCTGGATTCTTTTGATTTTTCTAAGACATTAGTTTTCTTTCCCGCTCCCTTATCTTCAGTTTAAGAATTTGGGTAGTACATGACACCAGTAGGATTCCAAAATATAAAACTGTACATTGAGGGCCATGCCTGTGGCTCAGTGGAGTGGGGCACTTGCCCCATATACCAGAGGTGGCAGGTTCAAACCTGGCCCTGGCCAAAAACTGCAAAAAACAAACCTGTACATTGAGCAAAATATAGGAAAATAGTAAAAAAAACACAGTTTTTATATTCTTGCTTTGAAAACCATGATCTGTCATCCTGAGACTATTTCACTTTAGATTTAGGTATGTTGACGAAGGAAGGTGTTGGTTTTAATTACACTTGATTATATATGGCAGATAACTGCTAATCAACTATTATCATTGAAGAGATAGTTGGCAAAATAGTCACAAGCAGAAATGATTCTTCCAATTTTGCCACCCATTACTCATTGAACAAGGTTGGTAATTTAAATTGCCAGATATTCCATATGGAGAAGTTATTTTTATTATGGAGTAAATAAATGAAGTAGATAATGAAGTTTCTGTTTTTGAGGTTCTTGTAGATATGTTTTTTATCTTTAAACATATCACATTTTTTAAAATAACATATTCAATGTAGCACTCAAAAATTCCTCTTAGAGTGTTGAATTTCAAGGCCCAGAACTAAGATTAGGTTTGTGAACCTTAACCGAGGCTCTACCTTGAATAAGCTTGAAGTGGTTTATTTCCATGATAAGCAAACATTAATAAAAATAATTCTGTCTTTTATAGCAAACATCCTGTGTCCAGCTCAAAATATGGCAGTATAATTTGAATTTCTAGAAAATATTTGAATTTCTAATGTAGTGACTCCTTGAAAATGCCTTGATTTTAAAAGTGCAAATTAGTACATATAAAAGAAAGGGCATTAAATCGAATTCAGCAATGATTTCTGCCTATCATTTAAACCATAAGATAGAGAAGGGATTTGTAAAGTGGTTGTGATAGGATGAGTAGCCAGACATTTTTATAGACATCATCAGCATATTTGATGATTGCTTGCCTTTTTCATTAGATAAGAAAGACATCTACAGTGGGGAGGAGGGAATCTGCCAACTAGCAGACTATTATCCCAAACAGTAAGATCATTGAAATGTCCTTATTCAGCCAGATAAACCTCAAGATTCTCTGTAGTCTAACTGGATCATGGTTTCACTGGTAAGGGTATCTTTCCTTGCTTACCTCTTCCAATATATGAAGAACTCACCTCTCTGTTTCTTTCTTATTTCTTTGATGCTGTCATCCTTGACATTGTCTGGCGTCTTGATAGCTTCTTTCCCTCTTACCCTCAAACCAAAGAAACTTCATCTTTGACCTATAACTTGTTTCTAATTATTAGATTATAGGGGGCTGTGATAGGCTTTTGATGTTTTTGATAGCCTTTGAATGTTAATTATATTTCTTGTAGAATATTCACTTTTTTGTAAAACTAAATATTTAAAACCAGTGAAGAAGTAGATTTGAATCTTTCACTCGATCTTATTTTTTCTTTTATTTTGCTAATTATTTTTTCAAAGGATATGGAACTTTCTTTTACTTTTTTTCAGAGGCCAGCCTTTTTTTTTTTTTTAGAATGAATGTTTTAAAATATATCAGAAGAAAATTTTCAGACGAAAGATAAATACAAAAATGTGCCTTTAAAAGACAGTGTATGAAAAGCTGATAAGCACTTTTCAGTTACTAAAACCCCGAAAATCACTATTTATTCCAGGCCCTCTAGCAACATTCACGTCTTCCTAACCTCTGACAGTTTTTTCTAAGATAGTCTCATTATAGTTTTTTTTTTTTTTTTGTAATGATTGAGAAATAGGAAATCTAAAGCCCAGTGTCCCACAGAAGATATTCTATTCCTTTATCTCTGGACAGAGAAATTGGTTTCCTGGGCAGGGAGAATAGATGGTGTGTCCTGTACTACCTTAAAGCGTTATTCTGGGTAATATCGGGAAGATGCCATGCACAGAGCACCAAATAAATAGTACAGACAAGCGCTGCTGGTATTCAGGGAAGGTGAGGGTGCTACTGCTGCAGACTTGAGATCTTCAGAAAACGAATGAGTCATCTGCTGGACTTCTTTTTTTTACTACTCTTTCCTTGGGCTAGATTCCCAGAAATATAATTATTGTGGATATTAATGTTTTTTGATACATAATAGCAAATTGATTTCCAAAGAGTTATATCAAATTAAAAGACTGTCAACAAGTTATGTGCATTTTGGCGGGAGGGGTAATGCAATAGTTTAAAAATGTATTTCATCTGAAATACACATCTATTCGAATATTCGTGATGTTGAACAGACTAAGGGATTTGTGTTAAATTCTACAATGAGAAATGTTTAGAGCATTTTGAATTAGGGAATAGTTTTTGTATTGCTCCGGTCAACTGAACTTAAAGATACCTCCTGGTGGCCTCAAGCTAATTCCAGCCTCTGTAGTCCCTCGGTGTATTTCCCCCTACCTTCTCGGAGACCTCACCTAACGGAGTGTGCCCATTACCTCTTATTTTCAACTTCTTTCTAAACTGGCTTCTTCCCCCCCAAAATCTTCCCCTATCTTAAAACAACTATTCATTTTATTTCATATCCCCTTTTAGCATTTGTTCTCTTTTCCCTGTGACAGCGAAACTTGTTGATGATGTATGTATTTGCTATCCACCTTACCTACCTCAGTCTGTCTCTCTGAAATACAGCTTTTGTTCTCACTACGCCACTGAAACTCTTTTTAAAAAATTATTTATTTATTTATTTATTATTAAATCATAGCTGTGTACATTAATACAGTCATGGGGTACAGTGTGCTGTTTCTATATACA